AGGGCACTCTCACGCATGGGCTTCTTCTTCGGCCGACAGAACGCCCATTCTCAGTTCTTGCGTACTCTGATGCTGATTGGGCTGGTTGCCCTGATAGTAGTCGGTCCACTACTGGCTATGCTGTTTTTCTGGGTTCGAATTTGATCTCTTGGCGCTCTAAGAAGCAACCAATTGTCTCCAGATCCTCTACTGAAGCGGAGTATCGCGCTATTGCATATACGGTGCAAGACACGCTACATATCCGGTCTATACTTTTTGAGCTCGAATTTCCTCTACATCGACCGGTTCGCCTTTTATGTGATAATATTTCTGCCTCATATTTATCTGCTAATCCCATTCAGTATGCTCGCAGTAAGCACATTGATATTGATTATCATTTTGTTCGAGAACGAGTAGCTCATGGTGATCTCCTGATTCAGTATGTTCCTACAAAGTTTCAGGTAGCAGATATTTTTACCAAATGTTTGGCTCCTCAACAGTTTTTATTTTTACGAGACAATCTACACGTAGTTCCTCCTGCATAGATTGAGGGGGTGTAATAGAGTAGAATTAATTATGTATTAATTATTAGGCAGTATCCTAATTGTATTTGGAGACTTATTTCATTATAAATATACAGTCAGAGCTACCAGTCTGGTTAAGTCTGTTTATTACTTTCACACAACCCAATGTTTCAAAAAGTGATCATATGGACCGGGTAAAGAAGATAAAGTACTTTATACACCATATACATGATTTGTGTAACCATGTCTTCCACCTTGGCCGTGGCACCATCAAAACGAATAGCATTCCTTATTCTCCAAGTCCAATAGACCATATAGCATAAGGATATTCTTATAGCCTTTGCTTTGATATTTGCTCCATTATGCTCCTCTTTAATCCATTTGATTGCACTCTTCAAGGTAGTCATTTCCCTTGTAATTCCAAGCCAAAGCTTCACCTTTGTCCAAACCTGCCCTACAAAATTACATCCAAAAATAGGTGTGACATCGTCTCCGGTTCACCCTTACAAAACGGACATTCGTTAATCACATCAAGAAATCTTAAATTATCATACGTAGGTAATCTATTTCTCAAGGCCAGCCACATTATGAATGAAAACTTTGGTGGTATATATGACCTCCAAATGAAGATCATTCCTCTACACACGTTTGTGTGTACCAACGTTGGAAGAATACTTTTAACCAGTCTCTCCCTTTCAATTTATGATGTGTCGGCCAACAGTTTTTACAAAATATTTTAGACTCACCTCTATCCTTTTCCATAAATCAATATAAACTCTAATAATTACTCAATTCTTGTTTCTAATAGAAAATGATGTACAAATAAAAAAATATAAAGAATATGAAAATGACTAGAAGCAAATAAAATACTAAAAATCGAAAATAATAAGAGTAACACAAAGCATTATATAAATTTGAAGATGAATTTTTTTAAATAAATTTAAAAATTCAAAAAGAAATTAATTTTTTAAATGTATCAGAAAAATCAAAAAATAAAGAAATAGAAAAATTAAAAAAATAAAAATGAAAAAATTGGAAAAGCTGTAGGATAATATAACGTTTAAAATGTATTTTTTTAAAAACATATACTCCTTAATTTATATAAAAAAGAAAATTAAAAATGAAAATTTATTTATCACTAATGAAAATAAAATGGGGAAATATATAAAAATAAATACGCAAAAATTATATAATATACAAATTTAAAAGAATCTAAGAATTTTAAAAATATGTAAATCTTCAAAACTTCCAAAATGAATGTTACAAAATAAAATTAAAATAGAAAAAAAATCTTAAAAATTCAAAAAGAAACAGAAAATTAAATTTAACTTTAAATCATTAAAAAATAGAATACAAGAACGTGAAAAATTAAAATAAAATGAAACGTAACAATAAAAAAAAGTGAATACTTGCATTATGTAATTTTATATTTTTTAAAGTAGTTAGAAAAGTAAGTTATAACTTGTTATTACCATTTCATGGTTATTTTTTGTTGCACAGTGTTTCTTTGTGTTTCATTTGGTTAATCACTTTAATATTTTTTTTCTGTTTGTTTATTCATGTTCGCAATTGTTGTTGAAAGTCATAAATTCTAATTTATCTTTGTTGATAGATTTAATTATTTCTGTTTTTTTTTTGTTTCTTCATGTTTCTTTATATTTATTTATAAATTCAAATTTATTATTTTGGGTGTTTTTATACATAATTATATATGATTTTTATTCCAATTCACTAACGAATATAAATATGTGTGTGTGTGCGTGCGTGTGAATACCAAATAAAAATAAAAATCAATAATAAAGAACAATAATAAAGAACAATAAGAAACATGATAGAATAGAATGCAACACGGTGCAACAAATACAACATGATGCAACAAAAAGCAACAAATACAACATGATGCAACAAAAAGCAACAAATACAACATGATGCAACAAAAAGCAACAAAAAAGATGCAACAAAGAGAAACAAAAACATCATATACAAATTACACAAAATATATACAATTTACAGATGTAATTTACATCTGTTGGTTTTGGTTCTCTCCACTTCTTATTCCTTTTACGTTGCACCTTAACACACAATTTATCATATATGTCTCTTCCATCTTCATTTTCCTTGTCAATCTTCTCATTCTTACATCTTCATGCACTTTTTTATTATGTGCCTGCAATGGGGGATTACAACCACTATGACACAAACTTTTTTTTAAAAAAAATTATTACCATAAACCTATACGACAGATACATAAAAAGACATCCACAACTAGAAGAAAACAAAACAAGAAAAAAAATGAAATTGAAAAAATATACTCCCAATCATTAAAAAGAGAGCTCCACATATCTCATTCTATAGGAGCACATCACTTGGTGGTTCTAGACCAAACCACATGACAAAGGAATATTCAAAATTAACAGTTGGCTATTAGTTCTTAGCTCTATAATGATGTTTACAAGAGGAGTGTAAAAATTGAAAATCGCATTAGTATCTTTCAAACATAGATGATTTTGACCTTCCAGAATATAAATGAAATCTCAATGAATACTATGGCCTTAATTTTTTTTTTAATACTCAGCTGGAAATTCATCTTGAAGAGATTAAGTGTTAGATTTCATATCCTACAAATGCCACTAAGACAGTATTTTGACAAAAATCAAATCTCGGGTTAGCTCCAAAATAAGATTTGACCAGTTCAGACGAACCATTCAACCAACCAGGTTCTTATACAAAAAAGGTAGAGTTGCCAAGTAGCAGAACATTTAAAAGATCTAGGATTTAAGCAGTTTGGTCGGTGCGAGTCAACATGGACCTTGAGCCAATCATCATTTATATCGTTGCCATACCTTATTCAGAGATGGATAAGGTAGATGGGGGGATTGAGCATATGAGGTCAATCGTTAGACACAACCGCCTACAAAGCTCTCCGGCGATACTAGTGTTGACGTACATCGGCGAAGATGCATCAATCTCTCGGCCGATGGATGAATGGTATAGGAGATGAAAAAGAGAAGGGGAGAAGAAGGTGCGATGGACGTGAAAAATTAGAATACACACACCGGATTTTGATTTTGGATTTAGATTGTTTTTGAAATAGGGAAATTAAAATCGAAAAGTTGAGAGTTTATAAATGAAAAGTCAAAAGACTTGAGACATAAATGAAATGCAACTAGAAAAAGTAGACTTAACGGGATATTTCCACAAAAGAATGTGATGGACCCGCACTTTGATCTACGCAAAAGGGTTGGTATAGTCACTGATTTATGTCCAGAAATAACTTTACTTCTATCTTTCCGAACCATATAAATATTTTTTATAAAATATGATCCTTACAGTTTTGCATTTTAACCTTGCACTGTCATAATCTTTTATACACATGAAAAAAAGTTGTTGGATTCCTTCTAAATTTCAATCAACACCTCACGTGTTTCCAAAGGTGGAAAGCAGAATTTAAATGGGATGTGTACACGCAATAAGTCCTCTTCATGTCAATGACATGAGGTTGTGAGAAGTATGCAACCTACTCCCTCCGTTCCGTTAGAATGTTTTCGCTTTCCTTTTTTGGATGTCTCATTGGAAAGTTCTCATTTCCATAAATAGAAAGTTATCCTACATCAAAACAGAGTCAAACAGTGAAAAACAATGTCAAACAGTGTCGAAACAGTGCCAAACAGTGTCGAAACAGTGCCAAACAGTGTCGAAACAGTGTCAAAACAGTAAAAATTTACCCCCTGGTAAATATATTTCCTTAATATGTGTGTAGGTCAAACCGGGAACATTCCAACGGGACGGAGGGAGTATTTTATAAGTCTCATCCATAATATGAAGGAGTATTTAGGGGGAATGTATCTTTTTGAGATTAAATTCATCCACGATTTAGAAGTATTCTTGATTTACAAGAAATAATAATTTCATAGACAATTTAGAAGGTGTGCAATTTTACTTAGAAAGCATATTGCCCTATCAAGGATTAACCTATCAAACAAAGCACACACCCACAGAGATGTGTCCAATCCCAAAAGTTAGAAACTTTGAGGATCCAATTTGGTTTGTATGACACACAAACAAGATTTTGGTCAACCTATTAAACAAAGGGGATATCCCAATGTCCAATCCCAATGAGTAAGAAACTTCCAAGATCCACCTTGATTTGTAATACATACAAACATGATTTTCAATGATACTACTTGTATACGTCAGGTTACACGTCTGTTTATACTTCCCTTTATTTTATTAAAACTAAAATCAATCGTATATCATTTTTCGGATATGTAAACCTGCTTGTAAACCGACTTGTGGAAGTACTCCCTCCGTCCCAGAATTATCTTCATACTTTCCTTTTCGGTTTGTCCTAAATTTATCTCATCTTTCTCTTTTTAATAAAGAATTTGTGGTTCACTAACATTCGTACTCATTTTTACACATTTTTACGCATTATTGTTTTTCTTCGCGAAATACTCCTTATTAACTTCTACCAAATGGAGCCTTTAACTACTCCAGATGAACAAGACTCCTCACTCCTCTCAGCTGCTCGCTCTGCCAGTCCAGTCTAATCCTCGATCCTCTCCCCCCGCCAGTCCCCCGCCTTCGCAGACTCGCAGCGAGGCAGAGTTCCAGACTTGCATTCCGCAGTCTCGAATTGCGCTAGGCGGCAGGCGCCTCCAGAATCCACAGCTCCATCGTTTCAGCGGCGCTGGCTCCAGGATCCACAAGAAGCTTGCTGTTTATAAGAAATGAAGAGCTATTGGCAACGGAAAGAGCTACCTTTTCTCATACTATATGCTCTTGCTTTCTATGCTATCATTATCCATCGCGCTCTCCAACTCTCTAGGGGTACACAGTGTCATCCTTCCTTACCGTGTTAAACTGAAAATATGGTCTTTATATTTTCGATATGGTCTATACCCGAATTAAATGGCTTGGTTTGCAATGGCAGTTCACTATACCCAGCTTCATGGAATGCAGCACAGTTGGATCATTCATGGACTAAATGTAATTTATAATTTTAAACCCCTTTAATTTAACTGCCCTGATATCCTCAGCTACCTTTGCATTTAGGGGTTGTTCCCATATTTAGATGCTATGCAATTTGTGCTCTGACGCTTTCTTAAGTTAATGTTGGTGGATTCACAAAGAGTCACTACGGGATTTAATTTTACTTGAGGCTCGTCAAGGTTATGATCAATCAAGGAACCATCAGTGAGACTACACCAATGAAAGCTGCTATAACTGTACTAATGTGGATATGATAGTTTGAAATGCACTTGAGAGGGATTACCGAAAAGGCTTAATATTTTTCATGGTTTAATTTTTTCCCCAAGCAGTGTACTGGTGAAATAGTATTGAAAACATATTATTTAATGATTTCTATGCAGCTTTTGTATGATACTGATTGATATTTCAATGCTTTTCTTACTCGGGCAATTGTCTTACTAGGATGCTTCCGATGCACAATGGAGACATTTTAGAGGGAACCTACCAATTCTTACCTTGGTTTTTGCAATCTTTACTGTAGTAGCTACTGTATTTAGATCATACGGTCTAAAGGCAAAGGGGATGTCCATTATCTGGCTTCTCATTTCATTGGCTTACTTATCATATCTCCATGGTGCTTGGTATGTGCTCTGCTGATGCTAATTTTTCTTAAAATGATATGTGGGGTGTCCCTTGCTGGATTTTTGCTAAGTTTTAATGTCATCTTATTTTTAATTATTTTATTGCAGCCTTTTATACGTTTTTTCAATTGCTTCTGGCAATTATTTTATAGTAAAGGTGCGTATCGTATATTCTTTAGTTTTGTGCTTTTTTGGTTGCTTATCTTCTTTTAAGTTTTTCATGTTCTGTACACTGTAATCTTTGACAGACAATTATTTCCTATCTAAGATTCTAGTTTTTGAGTTCATTGGGTGCAGCAAGGATTTCTTACTCTGTGCATTGTGATGGTTATTTTATGTAAGCTGAGACTAAAAATCAATTATGAATAAACAATACTTTTTTTTGTAGATATGTGGAAGGACAAAATTTGTCTTTGTGTTGTGGATATATAATCTGGCATTTCTTGTATGTAACCGGGTTTATGATGGATATCCCTTCTCATCTTTTGGGTGAGATTCTTTTCTGATTGTTGCTTCCATCCTAGAATGATGATCTCTATGTTCCATAAGAACTAATAACCAACAATGTTGAAACTTCTCTTATTTCCACTTCTTCTGTCATAGGCAACGTTGGGCCTACTTGGACAACTACCGAGGAACCTTCAGGTGGCATATCTGCTTTAATTTCGGTACATTTATTTCTTCATTCACTTTTATATTTGCCTCTCTTTTTGTCTCATTGTTTTATTCATTACTTAATACTTACTTTCATGCACTTTAATATATGGACATATATTAGAAGAGAAGATATTAGAAGAGAAGATGATAATTAAATCCTCATTTTTGCAGGAGCTAATAACTAAGAATATGCTATTGGTTTTTAGCAATTTGCCAAATTGATAACAGCTATTAGCTGTGCATGTGTTATTTTTTCAAAAGATTTGATACTTAGTCTCTACATTGACATTGATATGTCATATATCCCTTCGAAAATAAATGCTTATCCAGTAACCTCTTTCAACATATGTCTCTTAATTAATGCTTAAGAATTGTGATTGTATTGTAGTATGTATAAACATAAAAATTGGACTTTAAAGAAAATTTAGTCATGCGCCATGTATCATAAAGAAAATGCAAAGAAGAAGTAGCTGTAAACACCCAAAACTTTCCACTTTATTCTTGTCAGTTGTCCTGCGAATGCTTAGTTTTGGATATGACTACCACTGGGCAGATAAAAGTAAGCACTTTGATGAAGAGGTATTTCTGATATGTTCTTTGTTTCGCTGTTTTTTGCTAGTTTACTCACTTTCCTGTGAAACCTTCTGTTTGCTTTGAATCTGTTATCAATACTTTGAACACAATACTGCATATCTATTTGTAATAAAAAGATACAGAGTATGATCCGTAAAGAAAACAAGGAAAAACATTAGAAACTTTAAAGGAATCTGTGGATGCAAATGTAAAAATTGTTCTGGAGTCCGGACTTCTGGATGATGGATATCTGGGGTCATGTGGTGAACTTTTTTACTTATCAGTGTTTTGGGAACCATGGTGCCTATTAATTGTGTATCATGCAAATTGTATGTGACAGAAATGCACCCTTTTTGCATTTTGTTTTCAAAAAAATAAGCCCGCTTTTATCTAGTTCAGTAGAAGAGTAATTTACATTTTAGAAATGTATACTGCCGAGGGAATACATTGCTGCAAGTTCCAGGGACTTTGCATGCTACAACTTATATTCTTAAATCTTAATTTTGAGTTTTTGCCACTTTTAGTTCACTGACAATTATGTCACAATTATGTCACTGACATTTTTGGTACTCAACTTTGATTTTTTTCCATTTTTAGTCATCGACTATTGTGCTAGAGACACTTTTGATGCTCGTCTATGAAAATTTCCATATTTAGTCATTCGACTTCCATAAAAATGACGCTTTTGGTCCTTCAACTATTATAATGGTACTATTTTTAGTCCTCCACTTACTGTGTCAAAATCATAGTAGAAAGACTAAAAGTGTCAATTTGATAATATCAAGGGACTAAATGTGGGAAACATTGATGTCGAGGACTAAAAGTGTCTAACAATGGTCGAGGACTAAAAATGGAAAAATTAAAAATCAAGTATCAAAAGTGTCACAAACACAATAGTTGGGGGACCGAAAGTGGCAAAAACTCTCTTAATTTTTTTATGTACTAGGCTTATAAGATGTTTTTGTAATGTATCAAGAGGCAATAGCACAGTTGAGAATACTCTTACTTTCTGAATCTACTATTTCCCGTGGGCTCTCTATTTCATACTTCAAATTTATATATTTTCAAATTTTCAAATAAGACTTGCTGCCTTCAACTGCACAATTGAAAGCATTTTTTTTGGAGTTAGGGGCCGTTGGGAACTCATAAAATGATAGGGAAAAAAAAGCAAGGAATGTAGACGGGAAATTTGAGGAAAGTAAAAGATTAGTTCACCCTCTCAGTGAATTAATTATGGATATTTGTTCAAACTCTTTTAATTCTTATATTTAGTCTGTAGAAAGACTACGAAATCTAAGTATATATAAAAAAATTAAAAAGTTTTAATCAAGTTGGATTATCCTCTATATTTTCCAATTTTAAACCAAATAATAAAAAACTACGGAGTATTTGGTTATTTTTTTCCGTTACCTACATTTTTTGAGTTCCAAATATAACTTCAGCAGTTCATTTTATGATAATCACAGAAGCACCTCCATCACTGTGAAAAGTGTTCATCAGGAAGAACATGCTATCTGCTATTACAGGTTCATTGCACAGTATGAGTAACAATGCTGTTCTTGTTGTCAGTATAGCCAGCGGAGTGGCTTTCACACTTTTAGTTGCAACCTTTTTTTGCAGGAGAGAACCTTGCAGGATGATAAGTTCTCCATTGCTACCTACTTGTGTTATTTATTTTATGCTCCCCTCTACATTGCAGGTCCTATCATGAGCTTCAATGCATTTGCCTCCCAGGTATACGACTATATGAGGGTTTTGTACTGCAAAGACAATCTGATAATGCCAATTTGCTGCTAAAAGTCACACTTTTTTCCTTTAATGTGCAGGCTTTGTGTAGAGATATTAGAATATTTAGTTGATTATAATGAGATTTGTTCTGATCATAATCTGATTTCCTAGAATCAAGCAGGAGATTTGTATTATTTAGAAGATCTTGCACATAATTACTCTTTCCTTTATTAAGTTAGCCTAGGCCTATAAATTGTATTTAGCTTCTGTATTTGCAATAAATTAATAAATTCTATTCTTCAACTTGGTAGCAGAGCTTCCCGATTCTAGGGGCCGTGCTTCTGCATGCAAACACAAAAACCCTTTCTTTTTCATCACAAAATTACTGCCAAAAGGCTGCTCCTCTAGGTTCTGTTCCAGAGGTGTTTTTTTCCTTCTTTGAAACTGCCACTTTACTATGCCTGATCTCGAAGATAAAACTCTTTCTCTTCCACCGTTGACCCACAATGACCTCCCAATATTACAAGGGTCATACCGGTTAGATGGGCGCAACTACCTTCAATGGGCCTAACTTGTTCGTACCACTCTTAGAGGACGCAAAAGGATTAGTCACATCGAAGGCAAAGCCCCTGCTGAGACAGATCCACACTATGAAACATGGGTTGATGAGGATTCTCTCATTATGACCTGGTTTTGGCACTTTATGACTCCGGAGGTTAGTAGGAATTATATGTTTTTCGCAACTGCTGGGGAGATTTGGAAGAATCTGGCAGAAACATATTCCATGAAACAAGATCTCTCACCATGTTTTGAATTGGAAAATAAAGTCTTTAATACTAAGCAGGGAACTCTCTGTAACTGACTATTATGGCACTCTAAATGGTCTCTGGATCGAATTAGATCAGTATCAAAGTTTGACAATGAAGTGTGCTGAAGACTCCACTGCACTTACCCAATTTATTGAAAGAACACGAATATTTAAGTTTCTCTCTGGGCTCAACTATGAATTTGATCCCATTCGGGTTCAAATTTTGGGTAATAAGAAACTGCCATCTCTTTCAGAAGTCTTTCACACCGTTCATGGTGAAGAAAGTAGGAGGTCGGTGATGATGGAAGAGAAATCGGTTGATGGTTCAGCTTTAGCCATCGGAAAGGGTTCCACACAAGGATCCACTTTGAGAGGCCCCGTTTTGAAGTCCAACAGTGAAGATCGATGGTGCAGTTACTGTAAAAAATCTGGTCATACAAAGGACACATGTTTCAAACTGCATGGAAGGGATAAAGTCCTTGGACGTATAAGCGGGTCCAAAAATATTGTTCAGAGACGTGCAAATCACACTGATTTTAATCTGGAAATTGAAGGCAATCCACCTAGTTCACCCACATAAGATATCCCCGACCTTAACAAAGCAGAACTTGAGCGCCTAAGAGCACTTATGGACTCCTCGAGTACACCCGTCGGTAATTGTTCTCTAACAATGACCGGTAAGAATTCTACCTTCTTATCTTTTGATGCTTTGAGTACTGATCATAGTTGGATTGTTGACTCTGGTGCTACAGATCACACGACACCTCAAATCTCACATTTGTCTTCATATTCCACTTTACCAAACAAACACCATATCACTGTTGCTAATGGATCCTAAACTCCCATTACTGGATGTGGTAACATCAACCTGAATTCATCTCTTCACCTTATGCATGTGCTTCATGTTCCCGGGCTCTCTAATAATCTCGTCTATCCACAAACTCACCAAAGATTTAAACTGCGCCGTAACTTTCTTTCATTCCCATTGTGTTTTTCAAGATCTTGCCATCGAGAAGACGATTGGAATTGCTAAGGAACGGGACGGGTTATACTCTCTGCCGTATAAGGAAAGTATTTGTCATCAAGCGAGTTCAGAATCTTGGAATTCCTCTCAAATATGGTTGCATCACAAACGTCTTGGGCATCCTCCCTTTAGAGTTGTTCGAGCCATGTTTCCCCATTTATTTACAAAATTGTCAGTTGAGTCTTTTCATTGTGATGTATGTCAATTTTCCAAACATCACCGTTCCACGTTTTTCCTAGTAATAATAAAAGTGCCCAACCTTTTGATTTGGTTCATTCTGATGTTTGGGGACTTTCGTTCGTTTCAAATATTTCTGGTGCAAAATGGTTTGTCACTTTTATTGATGACTGTTCTAGAATTACGTGGGTTTTTCTTATGAAAGATAAATCAGAAGTGTTTCAAGTCGCAGTGTTTATATGTCCATGGATGTCACTTTTCTGGAAACCGAATCTTTTTATCCTAATTCTCAGTTTCAGGGGGGAGAGTAGAGAGTAGACAGGAAGTTGAGTCCCCCGAGTTTCCTATTTCTGCCCCTAAGGACAATGATGCTACTGATAATGGTTCTGAACAAAAATACCAATGCACAATAATGATGACAGGTATTGTATAAAGTACCAACGAAAAGCTAAACCCGTCCTAATCCATCAGCAAGTCCAATCGTCAGACCCTGAGGTAAGTACTCACAACCTCGAGCCTAACAAATATTGTGAGCCAAACCCCGATGACCAGCCCATTACGTTGAGAAAGAAAAAACGATCTTGCACCAAGTACCCTATATCTCAGTTTGTGTGTACTAAGAATCTTTCTGCCCAACACCAGAGTTTTCTTTCAGCTATTGACTCTATTAGAGTCCCTGCATTTGTACAAGAAGCTTTAAAAAATAAGAGTTGGATTCAAGCCATGAATGAAGAGATGCATGCATTAGAAAAGAATAAAACTTAGGGAGATGGTTGAAAAACCAAATAACAAAAAAACAGTGGGCTGTAGGTGGATATACACAATTAAGTACCGGTCTGATGGTACACTTGACAGGTATAAGGCAAGGTTAGTAGCAAAGGGTTTCACCCAGACCTACGGGATTGATTATGAAGATACATTTGCTCCTGTAGCAAAAATGAATACAGTAAGGATTATTTTATCCTTAACAACCCACTTTGATTGGGAGTTACAGCAGTATGAGGTAAAAAACGCTTTCTTGCATGGAGATTTAGAAGAAGAGGTATATATGGAGATTCCGCCAGGGTATGCCCCTACTTCAGGGAGAAATATGGTTTGGAAGAAGAGGTATATATGGAGATTTGCAAATTGAAGAAGGCCCTATACGGGCTCAAGCAATCACCCCGGGCATGGTTTGGAAGGTTTACTCAGGCCATGGTATCACTGGGGTATAAACAAAGCCAAGGTGATCATACCCTCTTTATAAAACACACTAGAAATGGCAAATTGACTATTTTGTTAGTCTATGTAGATGATATGATCATTTCAGGGAATGATGAATATGAAAAACAAATTCTAAGAAAGGAGTTGGCCTGAAACGCACGGAAACGTCTGGGCCTGGGAGTTTTCGCGTTTCAAAAACGTTCGAACGTTTCCGAGCGTAGGAAACGCCAAAAACGCGTATCCTAGGCCGTTTCTTAATTTAGGGAAGTTTGGAAACGCGTTTCTTAGTTCCGATTAAAAAAAGGGCCGGCTAAATAGCGGAAATTAAACCTTTCTTTCATCATTCTGGCTCTTCGCTCTTCAACCCTACGGCCTACGCACAACAGTCATCGTCCGGCAGCGGTCGCCAGGTTCTCCAAAGGTCGTCCCCTGCAGCGCTCATCGTTCCTTCGTTCGCCGGCTTCTCGAGAGCACAGGTCATCGATTCAGGTATATGGCTATCTGCGTTAATTTCGCAGGTCATCGTTTTCTTTGTTTTAATTTCGTTCCTTCGTTTTTAAACTGAAACGCAAGGAAAGTAGTGATGGTCTGCAGGTCTGATGGAGGACATTGTTTTTATATTCAATTAATTTTTTATATTCAATTCGTTTTTGTATATTCAATTAATTTTTAATATTTTATTGTATATTGTGTAACTTAGATTATATTAATTCTCTAGTGATGGAGGACAGTGTTAATAATACAACACAATTTAAAGAGGATGTAAGTAGTCCTTTGTGGCAATTTGTTAAAAGACTCAAAAAAACCGGTGATGGAGATGGCAATGCGAAATGGATCTGTAACTTTTGTGGTAGCCAAAAACAGGGGACATACACTAGAGTGAGAGCTCATTTACTCAAACTTCCTTCAAAAGGAATTGCTGTATGTCCAAAGGTTGGGCTGGAGAGTATTTTTGAAATGAAAAGGCTTGAAGAAGATGCTGCAAAGCAAATTGCTGGTTCACAACCTAAGCGAGTATCCTTGCCTACTAGTAGCACGCAAAGCAGCTCAACCTAATTATCGATAAATGAACCAAGTCGTTTAGAGATGTTAAAAAAAAGAAGAGTCGATGACTCGCCCATTTCCAAAGCTTTTGATTTGCAAACTAGGAATCAACTAGACGAAGAGATTGCAAGGATGTTCTTCACCGGAGGTATTCCTTTCAATTTTGCAAGAAACCCATATTATATTAGCTCATATACTTTTGCTGCTAATCATAATTTGGGTGGATATATACCTCCTGGTTATAATAAGTTGAGAACTACATTACTTCAACGGGAGAAAGCACACATGGAGATGTGCTTGGAACCTATAAAAACCACTTGATATGAAAAAGGTGTGACCATAGTTAGTGACGGATGGAGTGATTCGCAAAGGAGGCCACTAATTAATGTGATGGTTGTTTGTGAAGCTGGCCCAATGTTTATCAAAGCTGTCGATTGTTCAGGGGAGGTAAAAGATAAGCATTTCATTGCTAATATATTGACAGATGTTATTAATGAGATTGGTGATCACAAAGTCATTCAAGTAATCACCGATAATGCCAGAAATTGCAAGGCAGCTGGAGAAATTATTGAAGGTCTATTTCCGCATATTTATTGGACTCCTTGTGTTGTTCACACTCTTAACCTTGCCTTAAAGAACATCTGTGCGGCGAAAAATGTGTTAACAAATGCAGAAACATATGAAGAGTGTCATTGGATCACATAAGTTCATGGAGATGCGGTGGACATAAAAAAATTCATAATGAATCAT